ATATATATTTATATAAATATAATAATATATAAATATAACTTCACTATAAATATCAATATAAAGAATTATAGCAGATATATTGATATAAAAATAAATATAAAAGTCATTAATGGAAACACATAATAAAAAAAATATAAGTAGTCCTTCATCCCTTGTTCAATTAATTAAAAAGATCAAATAAGATACATTTAGTCACTATCACTCTCGGTTAAGTAATTTGAAACTTCTTCTTCCAATGTTTCCGTTCCATCAAACTCTTCCTCTTCATCATCATCCTCACCCACACATTCTTCCTCTGTCACATATGGCAATTGCATGACCTCGCTAATCACCACTTCTTCTCCCCCTTGAGATGCTAGTGAAACATGGTCATTTAAAGCAGTCGGGGGTTGCACCAATTGTGGCATAAGAGGATCATCATCTTGATAATAAACATTTCCACCGTCACTCAACGATGAAGTGTCGATTATTGCTCTTGCCCTAATCTTACATGCAGCAAACCACCCTTTTTTACAAGGATTTTGAGATGGGTAACGGGCATAAAACACTTGTTGAGGTTGACTGGTCAATATGAATGGTTCATCTGTTTGTAATTTAAACCGAGGATTTATGTCAACTATACCAGATGTCGAATGGACCACAATGCCTTTGTTGATATCATACCACTCACACTTGAACAAAATCATTGATTGATGAACATATGAGTCAAAATTACTGAAACTCAATTATTTCCTTCAAACTCCTATAATAATCTGACTCATCATTGAAAGTGGTTCCCTTCACACAAACACCGCTATTCATGGTCTTTTTATTTTGTCCATATGCGATAGTATGAAACCGAAATCCATTAACCCAATAACCATTGTATACCCTAACGTTATTGACTAGGCCAGTTAATAAAGGCAAAAGGCGAGAATCAACCTCATATCTTCCACTACGCACCTAGATTTGTTATAAAAATATTTAATATTTAATCCTAAAATATATAAAAATTGAGATCTTACTAATAAAG